ATTGGAGTACTAAGGGACCATAGCCTTCCAGAAGAATAATTGGAAATATCTCTAAATGAAATCCCTGTCTCATAATAGGCTGTTTTACAACAGATGTTATTGAAATGTGATAACTTTTTTAAATCACCAAGAGAAAAGTACAATGTAATAACTGAAAAGCTAATATCAGTGGCGCGACAGCCCATAGAGGGCCAAGGCCTACTGCGTCCATCTCAGTTTTCTTGACCTTAGGCTCTGGGGTGCAGGAGCAGATGTTCCGGAAAGGTTGTCAGTCGAAAGTAGAACCCTCAGTGTTTAATTCCCAAGCATGCTTGGTACTCATTTATATCTACCCATTGAAGGGATGAAAGTCTGAGTTAACCTTGGCCGGCCTGAGGATCGAACCCAGGACCTGTAGCACTGGAGCTCAAAGCGCTACCACTTAGCCACCGGTTGTCATAATGTAATAACAGAAACGTTCAATCAAACGTTAAGCCAAAATTTTAATTAAATTCTGTTAAATTTGCGTTCAGCATATGTTTCAATGAGCCAACAGTTCCTTTTTTTAAGTTTTAATCTTAGATGCATTTAAGTTTAAGTAGCTTTTTTGGTAGTTTTTCGCATGCGTCTTAAAATTTTAAAAAAATCGACTTTTTCGAACAAAGTTTTAAAAAAAACAGCATAGAAATAAATTATTTTAACATCTAAGATTAAAAACCAAAATTTCATTAAGAAAACGTAATTTGATTCTTAACACAAGTATAAGTAACAAAACTTAATTATATATGAAGAACATTCCTAGATGCTAAAAAAATGTAAACATTCTGATACTTGATAAAGTTTTTATTCTACTTTATGATTTAAATAAAGTACAATCAACAGTCAAATCAATAATAAAACTTGGGTCTGCTTTATTTATTTCCGGTTCGATATGTCGAGTTTCATATTTACCATCTAATTAACCATTTGAGTTTGTCTCGAATTAAATTTCGTCCAAACAGATAAAACTGAAATATTTTGTTCCATTTTCGATTCTGGAAAAACCCTTCACGTTGTATTTATCTTTTAGTACCTATTACAGAAACTAACAATGCATATTTGTATATCATTAAATAAGTATCTGCAGCAAACAAAATTACATATTTTAATATAGATTCTAATTAAGGGGGAGTTTCAAAAATGGCCTTCCTCAAGACATGTATACAATTGCTTCCATATAATAATTAGGTTTTTCTTTCGGGTAAAAAGTTGTTTCTTTTTTTATCGAGATAAAAAGTCACGTTTCTGCGTGATATTAACTTTTTTTTTATTTTGTTGCGCACTTAAAATTTAAAATAATAAGTTGGCAAAACAATTTATTGCATTCAATTACTGACGTTATTTTATCTATTTTATTTTATTTATCAAAACTCCATTCATTTAGGAGATATTTTTTATACCAAAATAATAATCATATGTACGTAAACTGTATTTAATTTTACCCACCACTTGAAATGGCTAGTAGATAATAGTAGAAAGAAAAGTCGTAGATAGTTTCGAATAACATAACTAGTGCTGGGTAAATTCGAAACTATAATATCGCAATATATGGCCAAGAACTATCAAGATTACAAATTATAACGCTATTTTTTTCCAATCCCAATAATTTACATAGTTTATTGTTACAACTTCTTACAGTCCAAATTAAATAATTGAACACAACTGATAGTACGGTATTCGATTTTTTTTTTATAACCGTCGTTGAACAACCGCACCAATTTTTGGGTTTACAACTACTAATGTTCAACGCCGCAGCCTTGTAATTTTGAACCCAATCCAGAAGACAAGGGAACTCCCGGATCAAGTGTTGGGAGAAATTTGCCTTCGTGGAGGACTTTTTTGATGGAACTAACCCGCATTTGCGTTTCATAGATGGAAAACCACGAGAACCTCCCACGGTTTGTCTGACGGCAAGGGGACTATAACCCATGATCCGTCTATCACTGAGAATAGTTCACGTCAGCACTGTGGTCGGTGCAAACCGGATGCGGAATTCGTTTCAACCAGCCATCGCCGGGATCGAACCCTGGTTCACCTCATTGGAAGGCGAACGCTCTATCCCCTGAGCCATCGCAGCTCGGTATTCGATAATTATTGTTGTCAAAAATATTAACGTGATTATCGTATTCAATTACCCACAATATTAATCGATATTTATAGCTGTCTTTGTTCTTATTCCCTTTGATGATAACAATCACGTAATATTTTTGGTCGATATTATTGCTGTCGATAAATACTGAGCTGACGATATTTATCCTATGTTCAATATTTATATAATTAACGATAAGCAGTTCAAACAAATTTATAAAAATATCGTTACTGCAATGTTTAAATATCTATGTTTCACGATATTTCAACATACATCAGAACTCTAAAAAATTCTATATAAAAAATATCATTGTTTTATTGAACTGAAGAATTATCATAAATGCAATGAGCTTACAAACAGATATTAAATATAAGTGTAAAATAATATATACCGTATAATAGTTTAACGTATAATAAATAATCAAGTAATTATAACCTAATAAACTCTTAAATATATATTTGGCATGACGTTTAATTCAATTAGTTTTAATCTATAACTGATCTGATGAGGCTAATTAAATACAGATCTAAGTTATATAGAAAATTGTAACCGGAAAACAGCAAAACCTTTTATTTTGTTGAGATAACGAAACGTTAAGAGGATGTGGTGAATGATGGTATGAGGCAAATAGAGAGAGAATGTGTAATTATTGACGAAAATGATCAAATTAAGGCTATTACGGTTCTAGGTGGTCTGGGGTTTTCTTTTGATTTCCCTCAGGGTAAACATTTTTTTTAAAAAAGTAGCATACAGAATGTTTTAGACAATATTTCATCATAATATTCCGATAGACGCAAATATTTTATTAAAATGTTTTGCTTACATTGCTATAAAAAAATAATAATAATTAAGGTTACGAAATTTCAATTGTACTTAATTCACCATGAAAGTAAATACATTATTTAAATTGTTCATGTATTGAACCTTTACTGTTATTTATTGAAAATATCCTAATTCCAGCATGGTTTTATATTATCTGATAACTATTATCATAAATTGAAATCAAATACACTAAAAAATAACCGACTTATCGCAATTTAATGATTTAGTGAACTTTACAAGTTTGTCAAAAACGGAAAAGAAAAACGATAAAACAACTATTTCGCCTATTTAAATGAAGATTTCAAGCAGAATGATTGGAAAACATGCAATTAGCACGAAATTAAAATATTTTTGACTGATATAATTACCGATTCACAGGCACAAAACCAATACGTCCAAAATAGGGAAGCACGCCTAGCGGCGTATGATGACATTTCCGGTCATACTATATTTTTTTAAGTCTAATGCTGAGCACAACTTCCCCTAAAATTGTATTGTTACAACTTATACGGGACACGCTACATACTTAACTGAATAAAATAAACTAATAAACAAACAAATAAATATTTAATAAATTTTATTAAATAAATTTTAAAAAAAAGCTTAAATAACTGTAACTGAACTGACTGGCATATCCCTTAAACAAAATTAATAGTTTAAACTTGTAATAAACGAGACTCAGTATGGCTGATTTAAAAATAACAAATCTGCTTCTTCAAATAAGTTCAAAAATAATTGATATTACGATATTTCTTTAAGAAAATTTTTTTTTTTTAGGAAATGCGTTTCCAAAGCAAAAATGATAAACTTAATTGTAAAAGAAATCACGATAGTAATAAATACAGAAATAATTATAGTCCTTAGTTAAAAAAGGCTAAATTGCTCGTTATCTCATCAAACAGTTATTTTAAGCAATAATTATATGACAAAACAGGATGTTAGAAACAATGCATCTTTATTTTGAATATATATATATATATATGTGTGTGTGTGTGTATATATGTATATGTATATATGTATATACATATATATATATACATACATATANTTGAAAATAAAATTATACTTAAAAAAAATACTATATTTAAAACGAGTTGTATAGCGACATTCTATTCATGAAAATTGCATCGGACGATGAAATGAAGTTTTCTTGGGCATAAAATATTTTAAACAAATTACTCTTCGTACTTATTTTTCAAATTCTTTTATTTATAAAACCTTTTACATTTATTATAATAATTATTGAAGCGAAGTAAAAATGTAAAATTTTTTAAACAAGGAGCAATTTTTGCTGATTTTTGTACCTTCTTTGATTATTAATTTATATCAGATAACTCTGAATGAAAAATTTTTGAATATGAAATGAAGCTCCATATTAATAATTAATAATGTGGAATGATCGATTAAATTTACTCGACCGTAAGGCGCGTTTCTTTAAATTAAATTATATTTAATTTCTTTTTAAGTAAAGTTTTCGGAATATCGAATATAATTTAAATGCATGAAAATGCAATGTAGTGTAAGAAAATGTTATATTAAAAAAATAAACAAGGAAATATTTAATAAAAACTACTTAATTTCTTTCATAAATTATTCAGGAAAAATTGAATAGATAAGCGATGCTGATAAGATTTATTTATAATATGAATGTATTTAAATATAACAAAATAAGTATATTCAAGTTCAAAAATGTTTGAATATTTTAACTGATAATAGCAGTGGCTCTAAATTTTATTATAAATTTTATTATAAATTATATTTTTTCTTAATTTGAATTGGTAAAAAATTATATTTTTACTTATATCAAAAATGAAAATATATTTTTTAAATATTTTGAAAGGGATAACGGAAATGATTTTTAAATTTTATTAACTATTGAATTAGTACTAAAACAATTGTAAAAACTCATTAAAAATCAATGAAACAATTTTAAAAATCTTTACCGAATTTCCGTATTCCACCAAACATTTATAAGTAATTCAAAGAACTGATTGTATTTTTCATAAAAAAAAAATACAACAATATCCTTTGCCTAAATGCTTAACAGAAGGAAAGTAAAAATGTGGCTTACCGTTCTTTTTGGTATAATCCTAAAGGAATCCAATTCTTCCCCAACACCAACTAGAAAAGATGCCAAATTTGGTTAAGTTCTGTAACCCACCACAATCAAAACAAAGCGAAATTTCGTGTGAATATTATTAATAAAGAGAGAAGCAATCAATTATTTGTGAGGTTAATTTTGTCTGCTTCTGAAATGTGCGAAAAGAAGTCTATAGTCTATGAATGAGATAAAAAGTAGTATATTTTTATCCGGAGACCGGTTCTTCAGGAACTAAACAACCACTATAAGATGCGTCAAATTTTTTTATTGTATCAAAAAGATATTTTCCTTCTATTTTTTTTTCTTGAAGTACGCTTCATCCCTCCAACTGTTGCGTGACAGAAATGCTTAATACTAATTTTTACAAAATATCTTTACCTAGTAAGTTATTGCAGTTGTTAAAAATAAAAACGGAAGAATGAAAGATAAGGTAGTATTTACAAGTTAGATAACAACATTTCCTAGGCATCAATTTATGAATAACTGTAGAAAAAAAGGTATTTTTCGGTTAGCAAGGCTCAAAGAAATATAACTGTTTTTCCTTAAATTTTTATTTATTTTTTTTTTATTTTTATTTATTTTCATATTTATTTTTTTATTTTTATTATCAAAAACCTAAATATTTTTATCATTAAAATTTTATTATTAATTATATACTTTTTTTAAATTTGAAATGGTAAAAAATTATGTTTTTACTTATATCAAAAATGAAAATATATATTTTAAATATTTTGAAAAGGATAACAGAAACGATTTTTAATTTTTTATTCAATATTGCATTAGCACTAAAACAATTGTAAGAACTCATTAAAATTCAATGAAACAATTTCAAATTCTTTCCCGAATTTCTGTATTGCACCAAACATTTATAAGTAATTAAAAGAAATGATTGAAATGATTATAAGAATGATGAAGTGGAAGAATGGTACATAAAATAGGATTTACAAATTAGGTATCAAAATTGTATTGCATTACAAGGCTAAAGAAAAAAAAAGAGGTCCTTTTTCGGTTAGCTGGGCGCAAAGATATTTGATTTTTTTATTCATTTTTTATTATATTTACTTATTATTAAAAACAAAAGGGGATGAGTGAAATTTACGGTAGGATTTACAAATTAGATATCAACATTTCCTAGGCATCAATGCAGGACAAACTAAAGAAAAAAGATACTTTTTGGTTAGCCAGTTGTAGATAAATTCAACTATTTCATTTATTTTTAGTTATTTCTTACTTTATTAATTTTTATGTGCTTAAATAATAAACAAAAAAATAAATAGTTGGCAGAGGTCTACATTTTATGGAGACTTGAATAAACAAAAATTAGAATATCCCTGTTGTGTCAGATCAATATTAGTTCATTTCTTTTGATTACATAAATCAACTTTCGATCGAAAATATTTTCATTGAATCATGTATTTATAATTTTACTATGCAATACTTTATTGATAATTTTTTAATATCTCAATTTTATTGATATTTTTAACTTTATATACCCACTATATTATGGTAATATTTACAAAATGATTAATCAAATTATTTATCGGACATTTTTGTTGATTTTTTGCGTAACAAGCCCATAGATTAAAAAAGTAAGATTAAAATTAATGAAAAATTTTTTTTTAATAAAAACACAGCTTAATTACATAACAGGTTTTACAATTCTCACAGTTTGTGATATTATCATTTCATTGATTCAGCATCATTTTATCTTCAGTATGTTTCACAAGACACAAATTTTCACTCAACCAGTTAGCCAACTAACTCAAAATCCAAGAAACGCATGGTTTATGTTAAACGTAAGTCTCATTAATACCTTTTGAAACATAAAAATACAAATTGAACAACATTTACCATATTCCAAATTATAACTGCAACAAATTGAGTGGCACTATTTTTGTTTAACTAGAATCTAAACAGCAAAATAAATTTTTGACAAAAACAGCTTTTAAATGTTGGTTCAGATTATTTTCAAAACATATTTCCTCAGACAAAACTTACAAATCAAATTTATAATGAAAATCATTACGGAAGGTAAAGCTTGATTATTACACAATTCATGAGCACCTATCTCAATTTACTTTTGAGACATGTTGCTAAACAACTAAAAATTAAGTATATTAAGTTTTGTGAACGTGAAAATTTGTACTCACCTGAAACCACAGGGACATTCAGTAGTCTAAGAAAACATTATCATATATGTTATTTTTTTTATTTTCTTAAAATCACTAAATAAAATACCACATTAGAAGCTTATTTCAAAATGAACGGTACTGAAACTAACTTTAAGTAAAAAATAATACTAAACACAGCGAAACAAACAATGCAACAACTAGACAATAAAAAATATCATTTCGGATTAACACGATTTTCGTGGACTTGTTTTCAGTACTTGTTTTTTTAGTTTACACATACGCAGATGCACCAGTTTTTGATCTCGAAAGGTTCTTAAGCGAGGCTTCGCTAGTCGTGTGATTCTACTGACCCACTAAGCGTTCTGTAGCATGGAGATGCTAAGTTCGAATCTAACCGCAACTCAGCATTTAACTTTTTTCATGTCTTTCTCTAATTTGTGACATCAAATCTTTCGTTGATAAGAGCTCATATGCCGTCTTTTTAATGAGCATACTTGTTGTTGTAGTTCATTTACGTCGTACTAGAGCTGCACAATGGACTATTAACGACGGTCTAGGAGGCATCCCTGGGGATGATCCGAAGATATGCCATCACAATTTTGATCCTCCGTAGAGGGGATGGCAGCCCCGCTTCGTTAGCCCGACGACCTGCACGCGAAATTGATCACTTTACGGTAGAGCAGTTTACCGAGGACCAATACCGTACACCCTCGGCCCCTACGCAGACTAATCCAAGTGGTCACCCACCCCACACTGACCGCAGCCAGTGATGCTTGACTTCGGTGATCTGCTGGGAACCATGTCCTGACGATCAGTTCACTGCGGGATAATTATAAGCTAAGGCATCCCTGCCAGAGTGGTTTTACCATTCCACCAAACAATCTGTAGCTTCATGGTAGCGGGTTTGAGTCACGCTGTAACTCTATGCGCAACTTCGTGGTGTCATTCTCCTACTTGTGTATTTCTTTTCAAAATTAACAAGGGTTAGCCGTATTTTGCAATGAACACATAAGCCTGCATGCATATATATCTAACAATACACGAATGAATTTATAAACTATTGTCGGATTGAATTACATGTAGTATCAATGGCTGAATCAAACAAAAGAAAAATTCATACAAGGTTACATCGGTTATAACTGGAGCAGGATGTCAAATATTTATATTCAAAAGTCTCTGAAAATTCTCAGCAATAAAAAAGAATAGTATGCAACCATTTAAGTGAAATTAAACGAAATCCAATCAAACACTGAGCCTTACTGACCGAGTGGTCTCACTGTCATCCCCTCTGCAGAGGATCGAAATTGTGATGGCATGTCTTCGGATTATCCTAAGCGATGTTTCCCAGACCGTCGCCAATAGCCAATTGTGCATCTCTAGTGCGATGTAAATGAGCTACTACGTTCCTCCAAACCATCGGTATCTGGAAGATAGCGGGTTCGAAACCCACCGTCACCTAGGATGCATTATTGCGATGTTCTTTTCTAACTCGTGACTATCTCTAACTATCTCTATTTTAGTTTGACATAAACTTTGCCTTACTTTTTAATGGGCACACAAAACTGTATATAAATATAAATTCATCCATACAAACATAAATGTTGCGTGTAGTATTAGCAGCTGAGGAGTAGTGTTCCTACATCAATACGCTTCTAAATGTGATAGAGGTAGCTGGTTCGATTCATACAGTTACACGGAGTGAACTTCAATTAAAAGCTTGTATGCACCGAGCCTCTAAGTACCGAGGCTCTACAGTAACATCGGGACAAGAATCTACAGCTTTTTCGGTTTAAGTCCAGAGCAGTTGTTTCTCAAAAACAACGGCATACGGCCTTGGATGTATAGCTCATTAACTTTCTTTTGTAATATTTACTGTGAAGCGTTAGCTCGCATATTTAAGAATCTTTAGCAATATACAATGACCACTTCACCCAGTACAATAAACATTGTACGCTTAACAAGACATTTTAACCCATTGAAAAGTGCAGTTCTTGGATAATCGCGTCCTTGTTTTATTTCCAGTGATTTTATGCGTAGAGTCCCTATTTATCTGAGCTATAAATAATAGCTACACATGCGATTTTTTGCTTAGAAATATGCGGTTTTGAGGAAAATAGACTCACAAATGCAATATTTAAAAAAAAAATACTTAGATTAAGCTTAATTAAATTTTAGATTTATTTAGTTATTAAGTGTAAAATAAAAAGGATAAATTTTAAGTTTTAGAATTCATCTCATATTATAAGTATGTCTCATATTATTAATCTCATATTATAAGCTCCATTTGCGGGTAGGTAACCACTTTTATCAGTCTGCGAAGGAGCCGGGGATGAATGAGATCGGTCCTCGCAAGACTGCTCTACCGTACAGTGCTCGACTTCGTATGCAGGTTGTTGGGCTATTAAAGAGGAGGTGCTATCCGCTCTGTAATAGCTAGTCTTCGAACCATCCTCAGAGATCTTTCCTGACCGTCGCCTATAGCCCATTATGCAGCTATAGTGCGATGTAAATAAACTACAACAAATACAACTGCATATTGTAAGATATTTTTATCTCGCATTTTTTTCATTTTGTCCATGAAACAAAAATCCCTGGCTTTAAAGTATCTGTACATTTATCTGTCCTAAACTTGAATCGAAATTCTTACCTTACTTATAATTTATCATTACAATTAAAAATACAATTATATTTCAATATATTTAATAGCTTCATTAAGGAATATAAACAAAAAACAAAACGTGAATTGTTTTTTTCTATAGCTAAATTGTATCATTTATTGCTCGGGGCCGCTAAGTCTTAGTAAGATCGAGAAAACACACACACCCATATATATATTAGTAAGATCGAGAGTTCTATCTTTAAGACGCCATCTTGAGAAAAGACATTTCAAAATAAAGAATAATTTTCCTAAACGAAAAATTACTCTTTATATATTAATTCAGAAGTATTTCATTTTATATTTCATATATTTAATTTGACTATCCAGGAAGCTTAAATTTATAGTTGAAAACCATCCCATATATTATAATACATATCTTTATAATGTGAAACTGATTTCCCAGACATCACTCAGCCATGATATTGATGCTGCATTGAAATATTTATTATATTAAAACTTTTATTTTACATGTTTTTACCATAGTTCGCTGACCATATAAACTAAAACTTGGCCAGCCGTTAACATTGATAGCTTTAAAATAGCTATTCTCTTCATATAATCTGGCCATAAAATTCGTGTTTATTATTTTCTTATATTACGGTCATCGATCATGTGTTTTCTTTTGTTTCATGATTCTTTCATTTACTTCGCCTGCTAAGCAGACTGGCAAGGAAATGAAAAATGAGAAAATTGGTCGGAGAATCCTATACAAAGGTGAATTTTAAATTAAAATGTGTGACATTTACGCCCATAAGGTTAAACTAATTTGTCATTCTCAGTCACGGCGATAGAAAGCTATCAATTTTTTTAAAAATAAATCTCTCTAGTTGAAATATTTTTCTGGCTTACTCTAATTGGAAGGGAACGAATTTTCGAAAACTCATTAGGGAATATTGTTTTGATTTACAAAAAAGAACACATAATCGGTTTCGAATAACTTTTGAATGGTAAATAACATTTCGAATTTAGTTTTTAAATTTTGATGCAAGATTTTAGTACACATAAATGTTTTAATGCCCGAAAATATTGTCTCTAAATTATTATCTAAAGTCTATAAATGAAGTTGAATGTTGAATTTATGCTAGTTCTTGATCTTGCTGAAGTCGGGTGTGGAGATTAGAAATCTGAAATTTTGTTCGGAAAGCTACGTAATTTATACAAAAAAATATTCTTAGTTTAGTTTATTTTTCCATCTGAATGAACGTATAGGTGATTGTGGTGAGCAAAAGACAAAAAAAGATATGGAACACCTTGAATAACTTTTGATCTAACGATCGGATCTTCACGTTCTAGGACTCTTTCTTAATAGCTCGAGGGGGAGACCTCAAATTTGCTAATTAATAAGTGCAGACGACATTTTAAGTTACGAAATTTGACACAAAAATGTACTTTCTCTGAATAAACGTAACTTTTTTTCGATAGATTCGGGTATCAGACTCGCTAAATATGGGGGATAGCCGCAATCTGGGAAATATGGTCCCAATAGTTTGGTCAGTAGGAGAGCCCTTTAAAGCTTGGACCCTTTAATGTAAATTTTTCTTGCGTATTTATGTATTTTTTCTTGCGTACTTTTAGTAACTATTTATTATATCTGACTATTTCATTTATTTTTTTTAAATATTATTGTATAAAATTTTTTGTATAATTTAAAAGAAGATATTTTTTATGACAAAATACTAAATTTGAGCAAAATAGGTTTAACAGTTCCTTAAAAATTAAATTTTAAAAAAGTCAGATATTTTAAATATGATTTCTCTATCTACAGTCGAAAAAACATATGGCCTTAATGCATCACATCATAAACTGATTTATATTATCCCCTTCTCCTACTACTCCCTACGTAGCAGAGAATTGGTAGAGGTACTTAATGTTCCTTTTCAAACTGCATCGAGTGAATTATAAAAATGTATAAAGACAAGCTTGTCGAGAGAAACCGAATGCAAATCTGAAATCAATGATATATAATAACACTAAAAAAACTCATGTAACAGGAAAAAAAAATTAAAAAATATTACTCAGTGTTGTCAAAAAAATTGTTTTTTCAAATGTACAAAATATAAAAAATTTTTTACATTTATATTAATTTTGTTAATGGAAAAAGTTAAATCTAAATAAAATTAAAATCTAGGTATATTTTTGTTTGAATATAAATCTATTCATTTTTTTTATAAAAGCTGCATTCTATAGAGCAAAAACTTTAAATCCGCATTTTTGTGTTTACAACAAAAGTACATAACAGGATGACTTACGTTTTATTTTAATGTTTTGTGTTAACTACATAACATAAAACTTGCTTTCAGGATGTCACTATACTATTACGAGTATATTGAAGGTATTCAATATACTCGTAACTAATGAAGGTATTCATTACTAACTAATACTAACTAGGATACTAACTAATGAAGGTATTCATTAGTTAGTGTTTTCCATACTTTGATATAGTTCAATTTGTAATTTGTCTGGGCCATAAAACGTAGTTTCGAATCCCGGCGTTGACTGATCATGCAAATTCTGCTTTTGTTCGTATCGGCCATGATGCTGACATTAATTATTTTATGGTTTTTTTTCTTCTTTTCTTAAAACAACATAAGTTTTCTGTTAACATAAATTGTTTGTTTGTTAAGATAACAGTACTTCAGGTGTTGTTTTGTATAACAGTATTTTTCTCTGAAATAAACGATTTTATACTGCAACACCAGCGGGCAGTTTTTTAAATTTTTTTTTAAAAAACGTTTTTCGTAAACTTAACAGGGATTTTTCCTACAGTGGAAGTAACTCTGACGACAGATGAAAATATCATAAAGCTTGCCAGCGC